CCTCTGGCTTGACTGACATCCCAATGTCAGTCCCAATCAGGAAGTTAAATGAAGTGTTTTTAAACAGCAAAAATACTGTTTAAATTAATATAACATCCCCCTTTTTTAGATAGTAACCTTTAGAATAACAATAATGATATAAATAATAGTCTTCCTAGTATGTATTTGTTTCTTTTAAAAATGCTTTAGCAGATTGCCATCTTAGAAAAGATGAAAAAATTATTCTAGAATGTTTAAATGAATGTATGGGGAGAGGAGAAATAGTTGAACAGGCAAGCAAGTTTGCTTCTTTATGCAATATTATTATAGCTGACATCCCCATTTTAATTATACCATCAATTGTCTGATGTAAGCTCAAAGTCCTTATCCAAAATGGAATCTGCAAGAGAATTATGTGATTGAGTTAATACCAAAATTATTCAGGGACATACACTATATATTAGATCACATGTGTATTAAAACTCCACTAATTAAATTAATTAAGGTTAAAGGTTAATAAGGTTAAAAAACCTGATTAAATTCTTAAAGTGAAATTTGTTCTGTGGATTGACAAGTACTCTAAACTTTAGGTATAAGACCTTCCAATTTTCCATTGACTGCATCCCTTTACTGATTTCCTCACATACTGTATGTAATTGTTTGAAGATTGCACCAGGTTTTTTCTTTCTGGTATAATTATTATCAAGCCAGAATTTACACAGGCTAATTTTCTTTAAGGTTTGTACACCAAGTCTTTGAATCCAAAATCATATAACAATTTCCATGGCAGGAATGTTTTCAGAACCTCTGGACTACATCTTTTTTAATATTGTTGGAATTGAGGGATATGAAAGAAAGAAACAAACATCAGTGGAGGAATTGATATGGAATTTGGAGAATTTTTTTATTATATGTGTTGAGAAGGAGTTACTACTAATCTACAGTCTTGTTACTTTGGCTAGAAAACTGATTATGCGAAAAGAAAACTTTTACGTGTAAAAACTGGCAGCTGGGTTACTTAATTCCTCTAGCAATGCTAATTATCTTATGAAAATGGCTATTATGTATTGTTTTGGTGTGCAACTGGGCAAAACATAGAATTAAAATATCCCTGTGTAATTTGTATGGGGTGGAGATGAAAAACCAATTGTCACAGTGTTGATTAATAAACAAAGTTTTAGCATTTCTCACTTTTCCTTCCTTCATATTAGCACCCTATAACACAATTAGGAGTGAAATATTTTTCATAGAAAACACACACAAAAAAGCAGAATCAGTAGATATCTACTGATAATGGGAAATATCTAGCAAAATAGGCAGGGAAAAAGCCTCATCAGCTCTCTTTGGGTATTGTGACAAGTTGTATTTATTGGGACTGCTCTTTTGCGAACAGGCAACTAGTGGTAACCTGTGAATATCAATACCTACAACGTTGTAATGTACCTTGGTCCAAAAATATTGCTCAATGCAAAGAATTGTCAAGAAAAGTTAGCTTTATCTATAAACCTTTCACAATGGAGACTTGCTAACCAATCAATTCACTTCTTTGAAGTTTTACTATATTTCTTAGTTTCAAAATTGCATAGAGTCCTTGGTGATCTCTGAGCTGATTATTTGCTTGGAGATGTTTCATTATCCAATTAGGTAAAATCATCACTGCCAGTGCAAGCGAGTGTGGAATTTATTCTGTCCCTGCCAGGTTTGATGGGGGTGTGTAGTTTTCTCCTCAGTAGTTCCTTGATTGTTTTCTGCTTTTTTTCTTGGTATTAATTCTTGCTTATCTGGGCACTGGCTGCTGGTGGTCATTTCGTTTCCTTAGCTTTTTTATTGTCTCTTTTAAAAAGTGTGCAAAAGTGGTTTATTTCAATGTGTCTATTGATGGCTGATTTGTCTGAATGCCAGCTTTCCATTGTGTTTTTCAATTTAGCTCGGCCTAAGATGGTTCCCCAGTCAAAACTATGGTTGAGTCTGTCCATGTGTTATTATTTTCATTGTATCTTCCAACTGCTAGCTAAATGTTCAGGGATGCATTCTGCTAGTCTTCTGCCCGTCTGTCCTGCATAGTTGTTGTTAACAGTCCTTATACTTTATTTATTTATTTTATTTAGATAACAGTATTAGATAACAAATACAAGTATAAACATGGTTATGAATACATGAAATGGATACAAATAAAAAGAAACATTAGGACAGGGACGGCAGGCACATTGGTGCTCTTAAGCACGCCCCCTACAGACCTCTTAGGAAAGGGGTGAGGTCAATAGTAGACAGTCTAAGGTTAAAGTTTTGGGGGTTTAGGGAAGAAACTAGTCAGGTAGACTATTCCAGACCATTCTGACCATTCTGTTGCTTAAGTCGTATTTCCTGCAATCAAGTTTGGTGCGGTTTACCTTGAGTTTGTATCTATTGTGTGCTTTTGTATTGTTGTGGTTGAAGCTGAAGTATTCACTGACAGGTAGGACATTGAAAGATAATGTTATGTACCACACTTAGGTCGGACCGAAGGTGGTGTTCTAGGTTGTTTAGGTCTAAAATTTCAAGTCTGGTGGCATAAGGCACTCTGCTTCCAATAGAGGAGTGAAGAACTCTTTTCGTGAAATATCTCTGGACTTTCTCGACTGTATTAATATCCAATATGTAATGCCGGTTCTAGACTGATGAGCTGTATTCAAGTATTGATCTAGCAAATGTTTTGTATGCTGTAGTTAGTAGTGCAATATTACCGGAGAAAAAGCTACATAGAATCAGGCTAACAACTCTTAATGCCTTTTTGGCTATGTAGTTAAAGTGGGCTCTAGCACTTAGATCAGAGGTGATATTCAGCAGGTTCTGACCAGTTCTGAAGAACCGGTAGTGGAAATTTTGAGTAGTTCAGAGAACCGGCCAATACCACCTCTAACTGGTGACTTTACAGTATCCTTCCCCTGCCATGCACACCAAGCCACGCCCACAGAATCGGTAGTAAAATATTGAATCCCACCACTGACTTAGATCATTAGAGATGAGTACTCCAAGGTCCTTGACATAGTGGGGGTCATTAACAAGATCTTCACTATTCAGCTTGTATTTTATTTTCTGATTTATTTTGCCAACATGTAAGACAGAGCATTTATTTGTTGAGATTTGAAGTTGCCAATTGTTTGACCATTCTGACACATAATCGAGGTCTTTTTGAAGGGTAGCAGTATTGTGAGTGGTGTTGAATAGCTTTACATCATCAGCGAAAAGATAGCAGTTGCTCTTAATATCACAGGTCATTTATGTAGAATATAAAGAGAGTTGGTCCTAGAACGCTGCCTTGGGGGACACCACCATTTTCAGGTACAGGATTTGATCGGGCACTCCCTATTTTGACCATTTGTTGCCTGTTTGACAGGAATGTAGCTATCCAGTTATGCAAGTGTCCGGAGATACCAAAAGATTTTAGAAGTAGTTTGTCGTGTACCACTGAATCAAAGGCTTTACAGAAGTCTATGTAAATAGTGTCTTGCTGTAACACTGTATGTTACAGATGACTGCTGTTTTTAATTCTTGGGCTACTAGATCTTTTAATTTACCTAAGATTTTTAGAAGGTTTTAGTTGATTTGTGTGCTACACTGATGCTGTATGGTTGCAATAGCCTGTTTGTTGGTTTCAAGTTTTTTTTATGTATGGTATATGTTCTCCTTTTCATAATTTGTGTTGGTTGTGCTGTGGTTGGTACATTTAGTGTAGGTTTTTTTTAAATAACATTTTCATTTTTAATTTGTTATCGTTTCCTGTTAAAGAAGATATCTAGGAAGGACAATGTCTATGTTGTCTTCTTCTGTTATGAATTTTATTCCTTTGAAAATGTTACATGTGTTTTTCCTAATAGTTCCTTTTTATTAGAATAAAGGTGTTGTCTACATATCAGAATCATACTTTTGGTTGCATGTGTGGGAATGCTATAGTTTCCAGCTGATGTGTTATGGTCTGCACTATGAGTCCTGAGAGTAATAATCTCATGGATGTTCTTCTGATTTATTGGTTTGTTTATCCATGGAACTAGAAATAGGTATGGGGCAGCAGTTGGTGGTGTCCATGGTTCTGGGAGTTGTAGTGCATTTGGCTAGGTAGGATATGTTATGTAGTGCTGCTGCCATGGATTCGTTCACTAGTTCTGGATCTAGGGACACAGAGTGTGAAGACATCAATAGGTACATAGAAATAAACCATATTTACATACCGTTCAAAAATGACAATAAAAAAACTAAGAAACAAAAAGACTATAACAAATCCTCTCATAACGAACATCCAGATAACAGGGATCACATTGCATTAGTGTTGAAAGGATTAGTTAGTGACATTATCGTTGCCCGGGAGATGTCCAGCTGAAGGCCCCTTTCGTGTCCCGGTCAGGAGCTGGAACAAAAGATGGGAGATCACTCCGTCCCACAGCAGCACCTGTGACTCGAACGCAGACTTGCTAACCTCCAACCTGGCATCCTAACAATGTGAGCCCTGTGCTTCTTGGAGAACAGGGTTTTACAGCATGAAAAGAATCAAGCAGAAAACAAAACCCTAATCAAGGAATTACCGATGAGAAAAACAACCTCCACCACCAAACCTGGCAGAGCAAGCTATTGTATATAAACAGGGAACAAACTCCCACACTCACACTGATGATGTTACCTAATTGGGTAAGTCTGTAAGGAAATAACCAAGCTAAGAGAGCACTAAGGATTTTACTAAGGTTTAACCCTGAGCTACATATATTATAGTCTACTGAGGTAAAAGTAGGCAATATTCCAGATTCAAATACTTTCCCTCCTCACTTACCATATCTAATTAGGCTGGATAGAATTTGGCTGAAATATGGTTCAACCTATTGAATGGAAAAGTAGCTGCTTGCTATATTTCTGTATTTTTAGTGCAACTAATGTTGAGTTTGTTAAATATTTTTTACATGTCCACTTGAACCTTTTAAGAAGTTCAGGATTCACTATATGTAAATTTGAAAAAAATCATGAACTTACTAGAGAGCCCTTGTAAGTATACATTTACAAAGGAATATTTATTTTAGAAGCAAACAAATAATATACAGTCATCTTTCTCATTTATTAACCACACAGGTTCATCAGGCTTTTAGTCTGTTTTATTTCTTTTCTCATTCAAAATATAGCACTGAAGTTCTCAATACAGTACATATAAATATCCCTATAGTTTCTTAACACACTTTCCAGACATCATTAAAGTGCCTAATAGTGAAAACATTTTCCCTAAGAGTGTCTTGTTTTTAAAAAGGATGTCTTATTTAGATGTATATAGGTAATGATTTTATGAAAGTAATTCTGCTAACTGAAATTGAAAAACATTTTTCACTCATTGTGTTGAATTGAAAGCAATCATTTTACAAGATATTTTTCAAACACATTATTTGAGTAAGATACAGAATATAAGCTAAACATTTTTATGCACCCATTTCTGCCCCCTCCCCCCCAACTGTTTTCTGTGATCCAAGCTGTTGATTAAAAATCAACCGGTGCAAAGCTCTGGAAATGCATGCAAGTTAAAATTTGCTTAACACACATTTAATTTAAGGAGTCCAAGGACTAGGTTTTTGCCAGTCTTTATGGTTCAGCCACAGTTTTAGCTGTGCAACTTTCTTTAGCAAGATTTGAGACTATGTCTTCTTTAGATCCAGGTTGTTCCATTTCTACTTTGATTTGCTCCTTGACATTTTTATTATTTATATCCTTAGCAAGATTTTCCACCATAGGATCAATCCCCATTTTTTCCTGTGACAGTGGACTACTTTCATGGAAAGATGACTGAAATCCATCTCCTGGAGTGGTCTCTGGGACATCGTCTGCTTTCTGTTCAAGTCTTTCCAATATATTCTGGACTTTTCTTACACCATCTCTCCTGGCCTGCCGAACATCTGCACGACCCTCGGGGTCCACCGAGTCCAAGGCTAACAGCTCTTTGGTCAAGTATTCTTCTATCCACAGGTACTTTTTGCCATTTTTCTTTCCTTGAAAGGAACCAACTTCATGCTCTAGCATCTGTACCCTATTTAGAATAGCTTCAACCTTCAAGACTCCTGGGTGTTTCTGAAGCTCTTCTGCTTCTGATGTCTTCTCTGATTCATGTTCCTGTGGTAAAGGTCTCTCTTCTGTTGGAACATCTTTAACAGGGCATGGAATCTTGTTATCAACCTGTTCTACTGTAGGAAATGGTACCTGCTGGGGTGGCTTAGTATCTACATCTGGACGTACGACTTGGGCGGCAGAAAATGGTACCTGCTGGGGTGGTTTAGTATCTACATCTGCACGTATGACTTGAATGGGAATACTTTGAACAGGACTTTCTGTTGCAGGTGAATCAGCCTTGTTTTTAAGCTTGGTATCAGGTGGCAGAGGTGGCGGTGCTTCTTCAGTTGGCACTTGTTGCTGGGGAGGAGAACAAGCTGCTTATTATTAGGAAATGCAAACTAAAGAACATGTACAGGGATTGAAGTGTCAAAAATAATTCTAATACTGAGTTCAACATTTCCGGAATCTTACGGATTCTGGAAATTATTCAGTATGAGGTGCTATGTATATATACATTGTGAAGCAAAGTAACAAGCCAGAATTCTGAGAATAACATTCTGTGATGGAAAAGAAATAATTAAGACAAAAGGCAACAGAAAAAAAAATCCTGTTGCTGAAAATAAATCAGAACAAAACAAACTATGAGAAAAACTATAGTAAATAGAATACTAGGAACATGTGTCCTATATTGGAAATCCTCAAATACTAGTTAATAGTATTACTCTATTTAATGGAGTTATATATCAAATCAAATGCTTTATATTAGAAGAGTCTTAGGTTCAAATCCAATTATCTCTATGTAGCATTAGAAAAACGCTACGAGTCAGAATGGATAATGATCAATACAGACCAGTAGTCCGACTCAGTAGAAGATGGTTTTCTGTGATCTTAGGCCTCAATAATAAAATATTAACATTGCAACTTTAGAAGGTTCTCCTAAACAGAGAGAAGTAACCACAAATATTCTCTTTATTATTCTTATTCCCCTCACTCGTTCATAGCCAGGAGGCAAAAGTTTGCAGAATGAAAAGACTCATAAAATGATTATGATACAATTGAGATGATCATAAATTTCAATAAAAATTGAATTTTTAATGTAAACTCCTTAGTCAAGAGATGATTATGGCCTTTGTCACTACTCTTTAATATTATGTATAATATTACTTTACTCATGTATAAGACTTCAACACAATTAGCTAAAGAGGGGCTTGCAGAAGTTGACTGTACATACTTGAGGTCTGACTGACTGTAGTCTGATTGGTGTTGGTGACTGGATTCTTCCGGGTGAACTTTCACGACTTGCTGAGCCTCGCTGTGTCACCCTGAATGGGGACTGTGCCCGCTGTGGCTTCTGATCCAAATCATCAACATGAATTTTATAGTACACTGGCTGATGAGGTTGGTAGTCACTTGGCTGGGCTGGGCAAGGTGTCTTCTGTGTCTGATGATAGATTTGTGATGGCTGCCTTGGGACATTTCCCTCATGGATCACAGGGATGGGAATATATCCTCGAGGGAGCTGATGACTTCCTGAGCTATGCCTGCTGGAAGACCGGGGGGAAATTGTTGGCGATTCTGAAGATGGAAGCTGCTGGAGGAAAAGCGATTATTAGATTTAGCCATGTTCCAAGAAACAAACATTCCAGATAAGGTTGTTAGTTTCTAATCACACCCAACCTATTTACTAATAGCTATATATGCTGTTTTGAAAAGTTTAGAGTTAAATCATTGTCCCAGTGGTTTTAATATAATTGAAAAGTTAGCAAGGATCATAGCACTACTTAACAATGTATTTTAATCACTAAAATACTTCCTTAAGAAAAATATTCCTATTGTTTATAAATATATACCCAATTCGTTACGTGGTTAATAAACAAAGTTTGAAGTGATTTGACATCATTGACTGAGAATGTTTTGATTCAGCAGACTGCCTTGCTTTAAGTATGGAATAGTTTAAAGCATCATGTTACAAAAACCAATTTGGACAGAATTTAGCATGGCTTCTTATGAGAACAAGGTGGGGAGGTCCTGTTGGATCTAGTAGCAGGCATGATATTCCCCTCTGAAAAAAAAATCGGGGCCGGCCAAAAGAGACCGTGCGCCAAGAAATCGCTGCCCAGCTCCCTTTTCCTGCCGCTCAGCGGCCTCCGCTCACACCGCCCACCCGCCCGGGCTCCGTTCAGGTATCCGGCTGGGGCTGTCAGGAGTTGCTACCGCCGGCGCGGCTCCGCCAGTCCTCCAGTCCCGCGTTGCCTCGGGAAGGGAAAGGCAAAACCAGGAGCCGCTGCTGCCGTTGCAAAGCGCCGCCGCGGCTCTTCCTTTTTGCCTTTCCCTTCCTGAGGCAACGCGGGACTGGAGCCACGCAGAGCCGCGCTAGCGGTAGCAACTCCTGACTCGGGGCCTCCGAGGGGAGGGGAAGGAGGAGAAGAAGGGGGGGCAATTCCCCAAAAAATCGGAATTCCGATTTTAATCGGAAGAATATCATGCCTGTAGTAGGTAACAAATTCCTTTCTTCTGAAACTACTGACTCCAGCCTTATAAAAAAAAGGCCTCAGTGAAATTAACTATGAAAAAGTAGTACCAGTGGATCCAGAAGACCAAAACAGGTTTGTAATCTGTTTTGTGGATCCATTTTGTGGGCAAGATCCTCAAGAAAATAGTGCTTGAACACAGCAGACATTCATTGTCAAAACCAATTTTCAACATCTATTTTAATCAGGGGTTTAAGACCTGGTTTGCATAAGGAAGCTACCTTGGTTACACTGTGAACAAGAGAAAGATACATGGTTATGTTCCTATTGATTCTTTGGATTTCTCAGATGCTTCTGACATGATTGACTATGGTATCTTTCTGCAGAAGATATCTCAAGTAAAAGTGGATACAACAGTTTTGCCATCATTCCACTCATCCTTGGAAGGCCATCACCAGAAGGTGGTGAGTATAATTCTACTCAATCTCTTGTTAAATCATGGGATTTAACAGGATTCTATTGCTTGCAGACGGCAATTATGTGACCACAGGACACCATGTCAGTTGTAAATGCACATTATTGCCAAGAGCCAGACTGAGGTTGTGTAACATGGGGTTATTGCAACAGATACAACTTTGAGAAACAGTTGCAAGTCAACTTGTTCAACACCGTCTTAACTTGAAAGATTGCTGAACAAGTGGTTGGTAAGCAAGAACTACCTGGATAGAGGAGGCAGATGAAATATTAAAATATTATATCTCTAGATGAGATGGATGGCATACAAATTTAATAAATACATAAATAAAAATCATTTTTATTTATTCATCATATTTATATAGCTGGTTCTTTCCTGGAACAACAGGCTTTATTCACAATCATTCATGCCTTGGTCACTTCTCACTTGGGTGAGTGCAATTGTATATGAACTACCCTTAAAAGCTACTTGGAAATCATAGTTGGTCTACAACACAGATGTCAAACTCGCGCCACCTGGGTGTTATGATTAGTTGGCAGCAGCTGCAGATGGCTGAGGAGACTGAGGACTCAGATGAGGGGCCAGGACCATTAGGGAGTGTACTGCTGCCTTCAGAGATTGTGGGGGCTGGCAGCAGTGATGAGGAGGTTCCCGAGGAGCCCGTGCCAAGTACGCATGCATGCAGGATTGCTCGTAGGAAAGAGCAGCTACAACAGCATGGGTGACTCGGGAGTAAGGCTGCAAGGTAATGGCCCCTCCTTCAAGAAGATAAAAGCCAGCTGTGAAAGCAACATACTTTGCAGAAGGCAAAGACGTTTTGAAACTACAGCCTCATGGACATTCCAGTATCCTGAGTTTGTATTTGAAGATTCTTATATTGCAAATTATTCCTTGTCTGTTATCTTTGGACAAGTCTTGCACAGTTTGGCAAGGCTTGTGCTTATCACAGCTAATTATTTTGTAAATGCATTACAAGGTTTCTGTTCCTTTTGGATTGTGTTTGATTTGCTGGAAAGGGGTGTGGGTCAGAACACTAGCACAGATGCTCATGTGCTGGCTACACCCGGTTTAGTGAGGGGGGGGAAGTCGTGATATGTCATGTGACATCATGATGATACGAATTTGACACCCTGGTCTACAATATGACTACTCAAGCATTTAAAGGTACACCTCAATATTCACATGTGGCACCTATGTTCCATGAGCTGCACCGGTTACCTGTGGGTTTCTGAGTACAATTCAAAGTGCGAAGGATTCCTTTGCTTTAGAAAAGCACTGAAAACCTGCTTTTCAAACAGACCATGGTATTTTTGATCCTAATGTATTATTGATTAAGACACACCCAGAACCAAAAAATAGAATAATAAAACAAAAGAATAATGGAATAACCAAGGTTAATTATTTCACCAACCATTCCAAAACCTTTCATTCATTCATTTCCAAGTTCATCTCATCTCATAATATAGTTCCTCTCAAGGAAAGAACTATATCATCAAGGCTTTATGGAAAGTCAACAATAGGATCAGGATCATTACAATCATAGGATTACATAAGCTGTTTTTTTTAATTGTGTGTGTGCAATTTTATCCTTTTTGCATTTTGTTTGTTTTTATTCAGTTTTTGCAATCAGCCTCCTTGAGTATTTTTTTTAATTTATCACCTGTATAAATCTAATAAATAACAGCAACAAAGTGAACCTGGTCTAAATAAGCCCAAAGTGCTGTCTGCAGATGCTCTAACTGTCAGTGAGTGTTCAACTAATCTGGGAAGGGACTTCCCAAAGGACCACCCACATCTATAACTTGGGAAAAGTGTGATTCTGTTGTATTTATAATAATGTGCAATGCTCCTCCTTCAAAACTGACCCAAATGCAGCACTACAAATTAACACCTATTAACAAAATCCATTTGCATAAACATACTTATAATTCAATATGCAGGAGAATAAATGGGACCATTATATTATATTCTCATAATGCAACAATTCTAACATAAAACCTACCAAAGCACTTCTGCAAACTCACCTCAGATCCTGAGGACTGTATTTGGATTGGGGTTGCTGCTGGTTGTGCACATGGCTTATCTGTCTGGGCAGCTTCTGCAAGCCCTCTAGCTGGAGACTGTGAACGGATAAAGCTTCCTCTTGGAGATGATGGGGGCCGAATTTGGGTAGGAATGGTTTCTTCCTTGACACGCTGAATGCCAGGCTGATAGCCAGAATTGTATGAGTAATACTGCCTGTTTTCTTCACCTTCGTGTACAACTGGAATTGGAATATAACCAGCCCGAAGCTTTGGATATCCCACGTTTCCATCTCGGATTTGGGCTTGATTCACGCTATTTCGAGATGGGCCATTTGCTGATGCACTTTCCTAGACAAACAGATATATAGTACAAATATAGAAATTAAGATCTTTTAAAATTCAAGACATACAATTTTCAAGTTGTGCAATTCCAACTGGAGACTGAACATGCTTTAGTAATTGTGTTTGTTCATTTGTTTAATTTATGGCCTCAGAAGCTCAAGGTGGCATCTACAGTGCTCCTTATTTTTTCAGCAACAAAAATCCCAGTGGAATCAGCTGGACTGAGAGAGACTGGCTCAAAGTCATCCAATCAGCTTCTAGACAAAGGGTGGACTTGAACATCTGTACTTGCAATTATGTGATTGCAGATTAGGTGATTAAGATAAAACATACTTCATAGCTTTTCAGATGGGTTTCATGATAGCTCAAGACAGGTATTCTAAATATAATTGACAATTTCTGGTTCATTAATAGTACGTATGTTTTTTACTCTATTATTCATATTTAACTTTAACAAGTTAATGATTGAAGTATTTTAATACAGTCTTGAGAAAGATGTTTAGAAGGCAATGGCTGGGCGGTTTACAGTCTTAAGACTATATATATTGTACCAGTCCTTTAAAGGCAGAAAATTGTGCTAAAACACTTCAGACAAGCAATAGAGTATCCTTCTTATAATACTATAGCCCTTCTCATTGTTTTGTAAAGTTTAAAATTATACTCAAGAAACAAACTCTTGCATAGAAAGATTCTAGAATTAAAGCTAGAACATATACCTATCTGAATTGCTGTATCTGTCAGAAATCACTAAATAGGCCAGAAATCTGAGCAGCAGCAGCAGCTTCCAATAACCCTAAAATAAATCTCTGTGTTCTACCAACCAAGAAGCAACAGGAGAGTATTTGTTTCTCTCCAAACTGAAGTCCCTTCCACCACTCATTTCTAAGATTGGGCTCGAAATTACAGCATTACAAGATATCAAGGGGGCATACAGGAAAAACTACATGGCCATTCTGTTTTAATTTGCAGATTAAAAGGATGACCTTCAGAGCTGTTGTGCATTTAAAATACAGGAAACATTTGTCACATCCCAACATTAACTCAAAATTGCATGCTCTCCTCTGGCTTATCAAAAAGTCTGAAGTTGCAGTAGCACTAAGGCAGCAATTATTACTGCAAGTTCACTGGGCTTTGGAAACTCCATGTAACTGCAACAATAATTTCATTTTTAACTTGAAGATGAAGATTGACCAAAACTTTTGCCAAAACATGGACAAAAACTGGAAACAAAGAGAAAGGCAAAGTCCTGACAAACAACAGTAGCCCAAAATTGTTGACTTGCATATACAACTACAGGTAGTTGTCAACTTACAACTGCAACTGAGCCCAACATTTCTGTTGCTTAAATTAAACATTCATTGAATGAGTTTTGCCCCGTTTTACAAACTTTCTTGCCAGAGTTGTTAAGTTAATAACACGGTTGTTAAGTGAACCTGGATTCCCCAGTGACTTTGTTCATCAGAAGATCGCAAGAGGTGATCACATGAACTCAGAATACTGCAACTGTCATAAATATGAGTCAGCTGCCAAACATCTGAATTTTGATCATATGATCATGAGGGTGGTGCAATGGTCATGAGTGTGAAAAACAGCCATAAGTCACTTTTTTCAATGCAATTGTAACATTGAACAGTCACTAAATGAATAGTTGTAAGTCAAGGACTACTTGTATCCTCCTACTACACCATTATTAAAGGTTGCAATCTCATTTACAATAAACCAGTAAAATTGCACTCTTCTGGATTAATTGTAACTGATTTTCATCAGCGAGTATTCATAAAAAACTAAGCAATTCAGATCAAGACTAACAGTTGTGTTTGCTAAGGATTATGGAAGACAGTAACAAATTCAACAAAACATGGAAGACAATTACAGTTGTGTTTAATAGAAGGTAAAAATAGTTGTGTTTGCTAGGAATTATGGAAGACAATAACAAATCTGACAAATCTCAAAGACTAGTCAACATTAAACATAGACATAATTTCTGCATATTCATGTCACTAAACATAAGCCATAGTTGAAGCAAACATTTACTCTTTTGTGTGAATGTTTAGGGAATCGAGAGGTAAGTGAACACAAAATTATTAATCCGCTCTTCTGCAGTTTCTTTTGAAATATCATTTCTAGTGCCATTATATTTTCATACATTCAAATAGATATGGGAAGATATGGAAAGAAACAAACAAAAAGTTGCAAACATCAGGAAAAAAAATAAAAATCTTTTATCTGTCGTATTTGAAAAAGGAAAATTGGCTATAACAGTCCATGATAAAATTAACAGCATAAAAATATTTCAAACCCCAAAATGAACAGGACACAAACAGGGGACAATGTTCTTTTTAATGCTATTTAAAGAATGTCATTGGCAAAGAAAACAGATGGATCCATTTAAGTAAGGATTTATCAGCAGCAGTAATGTGAAAGTGTGGGGTGAAGTTTGGGAGGAAGGGTGGGTAGATCAAAAGAAAAAAGAAGTCAGAAAGAATGGAAAATAAATGCTACAAGCTTAAGTATATTTGTAATATGATATTTAGAATGTGAACAGGATAGAAACAAAACTTTATGCAAGAGATTCTCCTCCTAAGTCCTCTAATGAAGCTCTTCCTGCAGTGGTAATTCTATTTTGGGAATCACATTCTAAATGAATCTTCCAGTGAGATCAGATAGCAACTACTGCTCTCGCTCACAAAATATCATTCAATAATGCAAAGTTTAATAAATAAATAAAATAAATACCATATAAGCAAGTTTATATGGCTGCCCAACTAGCACACAGGTGGACTTCGGGCAGCTTTTAATATTAAAACCCCTCAAAATAAAAATCCATAGCCCCCATCCCCACAACAACAGCAACGATATCAATCCAAAATCTTCCTGAGAATATCAACTACCAACTACTATGAATTTATGGTATATGGAAATGCAGCAAACCTGCCTTTTAAACTGACAATTGTGCCATTACATTACATAATTTGATACTGTCAAGTTTTATTATTGTATAGAATTTTCACATTTTGATGCTGCTGAATATTTAAGAAAAAAAAGTTTTCATAAGTTACTACCTCAAGCATTTAGCACAATTTTCCTCTTCTCATAACGACCCTAATCTAACAGCTCATTTCAGCATGTGAAAAGATAATAAGCAGTCTAGGTTATCTGAAAAATTTGAATTGGCATAATTTAAATATTTACTTGACTTCTATTTAGTAAATTGAAACATTTTTCTGGTTGGTTTATAGAATCATAATTCTGATTTTGACAAAATTTAAAATTGGAAGTAAAGTATCACTTAGCTGAAGTGATATTTTATTATTCAACATGATAAAAAAAAGAAAGATAAAAAGGTAAAGGTAAAAGTTTCTCCTATCCAGTCATGTATGACTCTAGGAGGCATTCCTCATAGAAAAATCTAACATTATTAGACATCCAATAGTAATTATTTATAGTAATTATTACAAATGTTGTTAGATTTAAGGAGAAGTAGCAAAGGTTTGCAGCATCCAATCCAAGTGTCTCTGGTCTGGTGACCAAGCCAGATTGGATCATGCAACATTATCCTGGGACACAGTTGTTTGCCTTCACTCGTAAAGTACAAAATGTTTTAGCTGTCATACTTTATGAAACAATGCACTGAGAAAAATATTCCCAACAAAAACTGAACATTGTAATATATGGGACTAACAACCCCACATTAAAGCTATATTGCACACAAATATAAATTTAACAGTGGAAATATTAATATCATCTTGAAATGTCAACGTAGTTATTCTTTAGTTCACAATTTTTTCTTACAACTATTTGGATTTTCAAAAGCATGTAACAGGGATTCTATTTATGTCTCTGTTACTAATCAGTGAAGTTTATACGAGGGGGAGAGGGAGGGAGGGAAGGAGAGAGAGAGAGACTATGCACACACACACACAGAAAAACATATATACTTCTCATTTAGCACCACAATTCATTTCTTAAATTGAAAGCTATGAAGTCATGGTCACTAAGCGAACACATGAAACACTGCAAAGATTTCTGGTTTCTGCCATCTCATTTATATAAAGTTCTCTCAGACGGCAAATCAGGCATTGATATCACTCTGGTATGTGTTTTTTGTCAGGCATAGAAATTTGGACCTAATTGTGTGCATTGATCAGAAAATCCTTTTTAAAAAACTAACCTTCATATATTTGGATGGTTACTAAACAGGGCATCCACTAAACAAAAAGTGGCTGTACACTATAAATAAATATAATCTCATTTATAGGGTATCACTTTCTCAGCATGCCTCAAAACATTTATACATCTAACAGTTGTTACAAACTATTCCAACTCAATTTTTTTTTAGATAACGATAAGCATCACCTTTGGGATCTTGAAAAAAAAATCCATCGAGTTACTCTAAATTCTTTGCAATTTGTTGCCTTCCAGATGTTTTGGAATATAACTCCCATCGGCCTGTGTATGAGCAAGTATCACTATGGGCCAGGAAGGCAGCTGCTGTACAAAGCTACCATATGTAACTCTGTAGAGCAGTTGGCAGCACAAGATAGCAGCCTGCACTGAAGCAGAAAAATAGTGGCAAATGACAGGGGTGTGTGTGTGTTTGTGTGTGTGTGTGTCTCATTTTGCCACAAAGATCTAGGACTTGTACACTGTATTTTCTTGTTTCTTCCAGCTTTTCTTTTCATGAAACAAATGTTATAATTGATGCGAGAATGAATGTAGCCTGGAATAATATGGCATACTTTACATACGTAAACTATGACTATTTTCAGTGAAGGGCTTACACAGCTTACTACTTGCCTATGTCTGTTTACACAGCAAGAATGGCTCAGTAAGCTTATTTATTAACCACGGTTCTCTGGATTCTAAATGTATTCTTATATTCCGTATGTTCCTTAAATCCTTATATTTCAATATATTACTTATGTGTGATTATCTTGGGCTAACATTTTGGCCTCACAAATACAGGCAACCTGAGGCATATGGATAGGTGTGTGTGTGTCACAATA